AGTTACTAAATATAAACAGTGTAATATATGGATTTACGAACAACTTTATTGACGATTTCTCAATAGCTGATTTTCCAAATATCACTAAATTTAAAATTAGTTATTCAATTTTATTATATTTTGTTCAATAATTAATTATTGTTTGTACACAAAAATCAGGAGCAAATTATTACATATAACGCCATCTATTAACAATTGACTGAAACAATCTCTCTTTGATCTTGATAATAACCCATAAGTTTCACCACATCTCAAGTATTTTGGTGTAACTAAGTAAAATTCAAATTGCTCTGTTATTTTATTAATATATTTATGATAAATACCTAGTGTTAAAATAATGTTCGTTTTGTTCAAATTTTTTTAATGAAATTTTGAGCAGAACGTCTATGAACAGAATTTACCTATCTATATCAAAAAAATAACTGATTCCAAACATTTTTATTGATAACACTAAACTAAGCTAAGAAAATCGGTTGACAAACAGAGGGTACTGAACGGTTCTGTCTTTACCTATTTATATACATATAATAATCGAACCGGGAACCTTACATTTTCCCAGAATAAATAGTGATCAAATGTGTTATTCGGATTAAAATTAAGAAATTATCATAATAATATTTTATTGTTTAAAATATCCAACAACTCTTTTCACAATATTCTTCCTATTGTAGTGTAAAACAAACTAATAATAAATAAATAATAATAAGCGGGCCATACGTTGAAAGCCCACTATGCTAGGTACTAGCCTATGGATCTTACAAAGTGAAGTTAAACGTCGATCCGTTTTATTTAAACTTAATTGAGAAGAAAATGCTTCAAAGGTGTCACCACTATCTTTATCGTACAAGTTGGTCTATACATTTTTATTAGCTTTTGTAGCTAATTATATAATAAAATCTTGATATCCGAATTAACACAACTTTTAAGTCAATTAATATATTATCGATTCAAATCAATAAGGATTTTAAATTATATTGGTATATCTAGTGATTTCTGAGGGACTGAGAGAGGAATTGCATTCAGCCCTTTTTAAAAGATTGAGGAGAAAATGGTACTAATCTGTTATGCTTGTGTCTATGCCTATTTATATTTATAAGCAGCTTCGTTCTGGCTCACTGATATATCTCGTAAACTTTAGTCGGCAATGAAAGCGTCCAAAATTTTATATTTCTACGAATCATTTACTTTTTTATATTTTCTGTAAATATACATGCATCTTTTATATATAAGTAGGTATAAACCGTGAAAATTATCTAACTGATGGTGAAAACCGTATCAAAATCCGTTGCGTGGTTTAGGAGGAGTAAGCATGCAGGATATACAAACAGACAGACGCGGAAAGCGACTTTGTTTTATACTATGTAAAGATTACTATTCATATAAAAAAAAACCAAGTAAGATTGTTTGTTCAATCGTTGTTACTTGTAATGTTATTGCTATCTTATATGCACATACATGATTTGTCAGAATGTATACCTTTAACAAACTTCTCTTAGAAAGATAAAGGTTTTTCAGATGATCATACATTTTATTTAATTTTTAGCCGTAGTAGTGTTACTTCAAAATATAATCTATATTTTGCTTGAACATTGCCTTTGGTCTGTTATAGCCTGGCTTCGTTGGTCTGCAGATCTTGTACCCGGAGGTCCTGGGTTCTATTTCGGTGTTTCTCCAAGTTTAGTTATTGAGTTTTATGTAAGAGGAATACAGTGCAATAATTGTGTTGCGCGCATACGTCTTGTGCACTATAATATCTTCTGCGCTCACGGTGGGTGTTAATAAGATGGGCCACCGTAGCCAAAATTAATTAGAAGGACATTATATACTATGTATATACGTATATAGCATGTATGTACAATGTAAAATCGGTCGATAGTTCACTAAAATCGTATGAAAATAACATATGAGTTACATCAGAATAGGTTAAATAAAAAGATTTTGTAGTAGAATTTAGTAATTGATTTTAAAAGTGAAATTGAAGTACTCCCAGACATGCAGGTTTCATCACCATGTTTTACTTCACCTTAACAAAACTGACAATCATGTTGCAAATGATTCGCACATGAAAATATCAGAGGTGCGAGACCCGGGATTTGAACCCGCTTCACTAGGTTTCCCAAACGAGCACGTAACCACTGAACTAGTGTTACCCTTACTGGATAATTACAATCATAAAAATATTTAAACATTATTATTAAACTACCCTTAATCCCATGGAAACTTCTATACATATAATAAATTTGTAACTAAGCCGAATCTGTACATTAAATTTTTTTGGAAAATCTAGTTGAACTAGACATTATTATCGATACAGAGGCCGAATCTATAGTTTTAGAATTTTTGTCTGTCTGTTACCGCATCACTAAAAAACCACTCGAGGGATTTTGATGAAATCTGGTATGGTGGTAGCTGGTTATCTGGGTCAACATATAGAATACTTTTTATCGCGGGAAAATGTCTCATTTCTGAGAAAATATACAAAAATTGCAATTTAGGAACTACTATGTAAAACCTAAGAATTTGGTTTTTGGTCACCTGAAAGCGGGCGGAGCCGCGGTCAATGCTAGTATAATATAAAAAAACTCTTTTGTCCTGTATACAAGATATTGGCTTTTATTGGCCGTCTGTAGATCCGTTAACTAAAGTTACAGTTGACTGGCTTGCAAGTTTAATTGAATTTAGCTAAACTGCGGCTTTACTATGTAGTACTCGGATAGTTTATGTGGTTTGGCTTACACTGTTATCAGTAAGCAAATGTTAGTCTGCTCATGTGTGAAAATTGCTCTAATTTAAACATGCTAGTGGCTGCTCATGGCTTTCCACGTATTACTTATTTATAATTTAATTATTTAATATTAACACTAACTTATTTGATTACTAGATCTAGGGAAGGACAATTAATGCTGTAACCCCAGAGCCAGGGTCTTAGTAACGTTTGGCAACATAGCCGGGCGCGAAGCCAAAAAAACGTACTAGGTGGTAGCAGCCCCCTTCAGTGGGTGGTGTACCATGCGGGTTACTCCTGGTACTTCTCTGATAGCAAAGTGGACTGTTAAAGCAATCCCTTGGTTGTGTGGTCTACTTCGGCAGACCTGCCGTCGGGGCGTCGTGGTTGAGTGCGTAAACAATCTTGCGACGCCCCATTAAGACGGGGGAGGTTCCGTTGGATTTTAGTGGATAGTACTGGCTTTATTGGTGAGTCTCATGTAACTACCTGTATGTATCCAGGTGGTATGCCCAATTTTTTGAACTCTGAATTCATTTCATATGTGAAATTAATGGAACCAATTTTGGTATAATATATAGAAGACTGGCGACTCACCCTCCGCTCGGGTTCGTCCCTAGGAACGTTTTTACGTTTAGCATAGATTTCTCAGAGATGAGATATTTTCCCGCAGAAAAAGTATCCTAGATATTGACCCGGATAATCAACTATCATCACACCAAATTTTAAAAAAGTTTGTCAAGTGGTTTTCTCGTGATGCGTTCCCAGACAGAAAGACAGACAAACAGACAAAAATTCAAAAAACTATAGATTCGGCCTCTGTCACGGTGTCAGCGTCCTCTACTATTTTAATAAGATTTTCCACAAAATATTTAATGTACAGATTCCACACAGAATTTTATTATATATATAGAAGATAAAATAAATGCCAATGCTCACTGTATTTTTCAATTTATCTAGTGCAATCAATTTAGGAAAAAGTCGAAAATTGGACGCTGTATGCTGTCCAAACCAATTAATAAAAGAAAAAACCATTAAAAATATATCAGTTTTATTTTTATAATAAAAACTAATTATGTATCTATAGTATATAAAACAAACTAAACACAACTCAATGTAGTACTCTAAATTAGTAAATTCGTTGAAAGTTTTAATTTACACAGTTTTGGAATTTAAATTATTTTTAAATTTCTAATTTATAGTTTTTATTGTTGTTGTTGTGTTATAATAAATTAATAAATTATTATTATTATTATTATCATACTTCACACAGAACTGCTTTCACAGGGAAGATTCTTAGAGAAAATCTTATAAAATTATTATACCTTAGGTTATATCTAAATGTAAATGACATCTAATAGTTTATTGTAAAGCCTTGCTGTAATCAATTAATACATACTCATCGTTTTACTCACTTTTGCTTATAGTTTGGGCCAGAATTAGTAAGTAAAAGCCTTGTCCAAAAACCCCCATAAGCTCCAGTTGAGTATATACTATCAGCCAGATATGATACACAGATTCACCCATCTTCACACTATAGCATTTTTCGTATACCCATATAAACTTATTTCGCATACTATTTACAATAATTCATTAATCTTTAGAACTGTGAATAATATGCTTATTTCTTTTCGACTAGTGGCAGACTTGTAACGTTGAGTAAAAATTTGTAATAATTTAATGCTAAACAAATATTTGTGGAATTTGAATTTTAAATTAAAATTTACACAGGCTATATACGTTATACGTTAGGTTTTTTGCTTCTCAACAGCCTGGCAAAGGAAAAGTATCTCTAATTCTTATCCTTTCTCAGATAACACGTTTTACTTCATGCACTTAATTTTCCTGTGGTCGTCAGTCGTCTTGAATTGGTATCATATAACTACGGGAGTGACTTGAGTTTCATCTAAATTTGCACATGCACATAACCACCTAGCTAGCTATCTAACTTACATCTGCTATGTAGGTTGGCTAGTCTCTATGAGATTGGCAGACATTACTAAAGTTGATCTGGAGGATACTAATATTATAGGCGCAAACGTACAATAGCGCAAAACCTCTCCTTAATAAAATGTACAATTGACTGTATAATCAATACATATAGATCATACAAATATTTATTCCCTTAAAGGATCGAACTTACGACTTCCAGCTAATTAAGCAGATACTCTGCCATAGCGAATTTATCTTTGGTATATCATTACCTCTATTTATTAATTCGAATATCTTAAAATCAATCAGTTCCATATGACATAAATAATTAATTTACGACCTATTTCTTCTTCCCCAAAAAGCATTGTTGTATTTGTTCGTTTGTCAACCCCTTAGTTTCAGGAATCATGAAGATGCCAAAAATAGTGTCCAGTAGACCAAATACGGCAAAGAAGTAGAATGCTCCATGAGATCCGAAGAATTTTACCAAAAACGGAAAGACACCGATGATGAAGAAATTAAGAAGCCACACCCACTCCATGAGCAGCATTGACGCAAGACTTTGGACCTGATGTGAAAATACTAAAATTAGTGTCAAGAAAGAAATCAATGATTTTTAGTATTTGAAACTTATTTTTATTTTATAATTCATGTAAATCTTAATATTTTAGACAGTGAATATCTTATAAATCCTACTTTTATTAGGTAGCTGCCTTTACTTCAACCGGTTCATCTACAACCTAGTACAATCACACAGATAATATATAATTTAACCACTCAAACTAGTTAAACTTTGAACTTAGTGATGAAAGATAAAAAAACATTATACAAAATGAACTCGACATTTTTTTAACACAAACAAATAAAGTAGTTCCAATCAATGTCATTCTACCCTTTAAATTTTCATGGTCACTGACAATATTATTGTGATGAAAAACGGGATATTTACCATGTTTTTCACTTATTTTTGAGACTTCCCGATATTTCGGCACTTTTCGTTCGTAGTAACGAACGTAAAAAACCAATAAAAAAGAGGATATACTATTTAAGCGATATATATGACAGATATATCTGGCAATAAAAAGTTTAATATCCACCCACAAAGTCATCAGTATATCCGTGACCATGGCGCTTGTAACTGTGCCGAAATATCGGCAAATTTCAAAAGCAATTGATAAACATGGTATATATCCCGTTTTTCATCACAATAATAATGTCACTCTTATTCTAATGAATATTATTTATCGGAGTTAATGTTAAGAAAAATCACTAATAATATAAAGTTATGATTAGCCAAAAATTGTTTCGTCTAAATATCATCCAGAAAGACTTTCACAGCTTTTTCTAATAATTATTCAACACGATTTTTCCCCAATTATTTCCAACTTTTTTCTTTATATGGATCCATTTTAATGAAATATTACATAAAAATACTTCTTACCTCTGGTATAAAAGCCTCGGCTATCAAAATGTAAGGTACACTGCCAGCTCCGAACATGAAAGCGAAGCAGTAAAATAGTATTAGAACAGCTGTGACCCACGGAGGTAGGAAGCTGGTCTGCATCAACACGCCTATTCCCAATAAACTTAAACTAACTGCGATGGAAGATGATACCAGAAGGAACTGAAATAAGAATTATTTTCCTTATTAACACTTACAATTCTTGGTTTAATTTTTATTAGGTTACTAGCATTGCCCGCGGCTCCGCCCCCGTTCAGATGACCAAAAACCAAATTCTTAGATTTTACATATTAGTATAGTCTTACAATGCAGTATTTGTATTTTTTCTCAGAAATGAGATATTTTCCCGCGGTAAAAGGTATCCTATATGTTGACCCGGATAACCAGCTATCATCATACTAAATTTCATGAAAATCTGTTCAGTGGTTTTCTCGTGATGCGGTAACAGACAGACAGACAGACAGAAAAATCTAAAAACTATAGATTCGGCCTCTGTATCGATAATAATGTCTATTTCAATAAGATTTTCCAAAAAATATTTAATGTACAGATTCGACTTAGTTACAATTTTATTATATGTATAGATTATTAAACTATTCTAGATTATAGGTGTGGCACAGCTAGGCATAAGCTTCATTAATGTGTCCTCGTATTATGCCATAGTTCATCACGATCAAAAGGTTCCGTCAAATAAATTTGCGTACCTTATGAAAAAGGTAAATTCACCCTTATGTAGTGGTTGTAACATGATAGACATCCCCCAAGGATGTATTGAACATCAAAGGGAGAGGGAATCAATTTTGCAAAAACTTAATATTAATATAATACTTTCTTAGATTTACTCGAATACTTAAAAATCCGAAAATATAGTTTTATTTAAAATGTTAAATAAAACTATATTTTCGGATTTTTTCGCGAATTTATTTTGATTTTTGGTTCCCGACGTTTCGAATGCTTTACAGCAATCATGGTCACGGGAGAGACTGAGGTGTTAGATGTCTCTAAGGTATTATATAGTTGTTACAGACAGCCTACGCACAAATAACAAAACGAATTCAAAAAATTGAAAAATGGCACCAAAGTCAAAAAATTCAAATACCTTACAATATTTTACACCTTACAACCTTACAATATTTTAACTGTAAACATTTTATAATTTTAATTAGTTTTATAATTGAATATGGGCGATATCGGGTTATATACATATATATATATATATAGCCTAAAATATATATAACCTAAAATATATATATATATATATATATATATAGATTATTAAGTTATTCTATATATATACATATATATTCGAAAGTACTTGTAAGCGTCTATATTAAAAAATATTTTGTGTTCAAATTTTAAGTTTTTTTAGTTTGAGTTATTTACATACCTTTCTACCGAATTTATCAGCGAATACGGCACTTAGTAAGCAACCACTCATCAGTATACACGCAAACATCACTGAACAAAAGTGGGATGAGAGACTCGGGGCAGCTTTTGAGAAGATATCCTTCGCATACACTTGCACTGCGACCATACCCATCAGGACCTGACGAAAAATAATTTATATAAGTTCTAGGGATTTACCCTCACTTCGCTCGGGCGCATCCCTAGGTTCTTTTTGAACAGATAAAATTTAAAAATTAAAAAATCCCCTACGCAAATTAATTGTCATTTAACTATTATACTGGCACGCGTGAAGCACTTAATCGAGTAATCATACGCCAAAATGCCTTACATCATTTTTGGAAAAGAGCTGATACTCTTACACTGGTGGACCGACATTAACAAAACATAGCTAAGAACCACCGCAAGGAAACTGGCTTTTAAATGAAAAAACCGCATAGAAATTGATCCATCCGTTTGAGAGGTACGATGCCACAGACAGACACACACACACACACACACACACACACACACACACACACACACACACACACACACACACACACACACACACACACACACACACACACACACACACACACACACACACACACACACACACACACACACACACACAGACAGACATCGACGTCAAACTTATAACACCGAGGGGTTTTTGCGTCGGGGGTTAAAAATAATTATTCCGAGTGTACCTTAGGAGATAGATATTGGCTTTTCTGTAGGCCTTTTTAAGACCTACAATTTTATAGTACGAGTACATTGTTTTGATATATCTCTTAAGCCAGCGTTAGCCATGTTTTTAAGGACGACTCGATAGAACCAGACAAACACACAAAAAAATCAATTAATATTGATTTATTGTCTATATTCTGTACACAATCATACATGGGCGGCTGGAGTGGAGTACAGGGGGGTGCGCTTGCACCCCACTGCCATGGAGGAAAATATTCTATAGGCATTTTCCTCCATGGCAGTTATAAAAGTTAAACAAATAAAATTGCATTAGTAAAATCCCTGTTTAAGTTTAAATATCTGTAAAAAAAGATGATGAATAAAATATGAATAAATATTATAAAGTTAATAAATAATAATAAAGTTACAGATTAGTTAGTAGTTTAATGAGAAGACGCAGATGCAACGCCTTGGAAATAATTCTGCCGCCGACCATGGAATGATACATAGAAAAGGTGCGATACTTTTGATTTTATTATTGATATTATTTGATATTATTTTATATGCAAAAACATAGCAACAAACAAAATCACACATTAATGCATATAATATACCTAATAATTACGAAATTTTGTATGTGTTTTTAACGCTTATAATTATAACTACGAGTGGCTTGCTTCCCAATACAAACTTTCATATACATTTTCACCACCTTAAGGGATGATTTCCGGGATAATAGTACCATATGTCCTTCCCAGGGTCTCAAATTATCTTCTTACCAAATTTCATCTAAATCGGTTCAGTAGATCCAGAGATTACCTCCTACGAGTACAACCTCACAAACTTTACCTCTATAATATTAGTATAGATAACAGGAGTTATCAACGCAAAATTCGAAAAATTCCATCAAATTTAGCAATTCATTTTTATTTATATAGTTATTTAGCATTTTAAGCTATCTATATATATATCTATACACTATTTTCATCGACTAGCCAGACAGCAGAGTGGCGCAGTGGAAGCGTGCTGGGCCCATAACCCAGAGGTCCGTAGATCGAAACTACGCTCTGCTAAACACATTTTTTGTTTTTATATATTTTTTTTGTATCATTTATTTTTTTATTTTTATATTTTATCTTTGTGTATATTTTTTATAAATTATACTTAATAATATTTCGCATTCATCGAGGTACTCCTATTGTTATATTTATCTCTAATGTCTTTTGAGCATCGCCATTTACAAAAAATAACCTAATTTTATAGTTAAATATGTTATTTTTTATTATAATAATAATTTCTTATTATTATTATTTGTAAATATATAAATGGTAAACTTACTTGTAAAGTCAGCGATGTACAAACAATTGCAAATCCACGTCGTGAGGAAGGAGACACAACTGTAAAAAAAAATAATATATCATTATATTAAAATGTTTCAACGCCATCTATTGACAGCTTAGTGTGACAATTATTTCTTAGAAAAATTACATTAAAAACAAAACCATAGTTTGTAAAATTAAAATGACTAGTATAATTATAAAAAAACTTTATTCTTTAATTAAACTCAAAGCTCTAAGTACTTATCAAAATATGTAACTTTTATAAATATACTAGATTAAATACTTTTAAATTATTTATCAAATATACATATTTTTAAACCACACTTTTAACGGAATACAGCGCCATCTATTTACAGAAGTTGAAAACACGTCTAATAAAGCGCCTGTGAATTTGATTTGTTAGATTTCTCTCCGGCCTGAATAGCAGAAAAAGTCACGAGCAAAATAAATAAAATTTTCATGGCTAACGCTGGCTAAAACGTACCTAGCGACGAACCTGAGCAAGGCGATGGTGAGCCGCTAGAATATAATTATAATTTTTACATCACGTGGTCAAAAGGTCAAAATATGTACTACCCAAGATATTTCACTTAGCTATTAAAGATATCGCTTATGGAAACATAGCTCGTTCATAGCTGCATAATAATAGAACATATAAGTAAATACATTTATAGATAAAAGAGGCCTAAAAGTCAATTTTTGGATTCACTGAACCATTGAGTATCATTATTCAAATGAAAATTTGCTATATTTTTACATCAGGATAAGTATACTTACATAGCATTTTTAGAGCTGACATTTTCTGCTGTGGCAAATTGTCTTCATTATCGTATTGAAGCATTTGTTTTTCAGCTTCTTCCTCCTTTTCGAGCTTTCCATCTGAAAAATTTTAAAAATATACTTTATTTGTAATAAAAATATTTGACATTATTAAAGAAATTTCACCATGAATCAAATATATGTTCCTATAAAAGCGCAAAAAATACTAACTTTAAATAAACTTAAATATTCCACTCTTGAGGAAATTTGAAATTTTAATAGATTCAATTATAAACAAATGAAATCGTAAAATCGATTCACAATAGTCTATCACATGCAACACAAAAAAACACTCTAATTTTAAATTTCCTCATTTTTAAGTCGGTTAAAATATGTACATATATGTACAGTTTTGTCCAACACAAACCTGTATCAATTGCTATGAGCTCTGCCGCAGGATTTATTTGCTGCTTCAGCCTTGAGAATTCTTTTAAAACCACTGTAGATGTAAGTGAGGCGCCTCTGTAATGTGCAATGGAGCGTCTAGCGTCCTAAAAAATAAAATAAATATATATTTTAAATAAACTGTCTTTTTGAATTTTTTCGCGGATTTATTTTGAATTTTGGTTCCCGACGTTTCGAATGATTTACAGAAATCATGGTCACGAGAGAGATTAAGTCTAAGTTTTATTTAAAACTAGCAGAACCCGCGGCTTCGCTCGCGTTAAAACTACAAAAAAAACTCTAAAAAGGTAGTTTCATACAAACTTTCATCCCCTATTTTACACCCTTATAGGATGAATTTTGGAAAATGCTAAGACACGTGTTTATTTAATTTTATTGAAGAGTACCTATATATTATACCAAGTTTCAAGTAATTCTGATAATAAATATTTTTTGGATTGTATTATAACGTGTTTTCCCGTGGGAAATAAGTAATCTCCCGCGGTTTAAAGTAGCCTATGTCACTCTTCAGCCCTCCCACTATCACCACACAAAAAATGATGCCAACTGTCACTACGTTTAGACGTGAAAGAAGAACAAACAAACAAACAAACAAACAAACACACTTTCACATTTATAATATTAGTATGGATGTCAAATATACGTGTAAATCTAAGAAAGTATGATGAGATTAAATTTTATAGGAAAATAATTTCCATTCAATTAGGTAAGTAGATCAAACATTTCCCAAACTACTTAGCGGTGTTAAACTCTTAAATATAAAGGAAAAAATTTATTAAGATTTTGTATTTTAGTGAAAATATGTGCAAAATTGATTTTACTAGATAGGTACCTATTATAAAAAGTTAAAACGAAGTGATTTTCCATCGGCCAAAAACTAATACTAATAAAATAGAAGCCTAGATATTTTGTATATTTCAAAGTTAAATAAATACAAAATTCCATATTTTTCATCCTCTTTTTACTCCTTTGGGGGATGAATTTTCATTTGAAATAATAAACCTTTCTTATAATATTATTCATTTATATATTTCAGACTCATTAATTTGGTTGCGCGGTGTCTACAAATCATTCATATAAAAGTCTTAAACTTTTACGTTCACTAACGATATTATTATAACTAGAGATTCACCCTTGCTCCGCTTGAGTTCATCCCTTGTTACGTTTTAACGTTTAGTATAGATTTCTCAGAGATGAGATATTTTCCTGCAGTAAAAAGTATCCTATGTGTTGACCACGATAACCAACTATCATCATACTAAATTTCACCAAAATCTACCCAGTGGTTAATTCGTGATGCATTCCCAAACAGACAAAATTCTAAAAACTATAGATTCGGCTTCTGTATAGATAATAATTACTATTTCAATAAGATTTCCCAAAAAGTATTTAATGTACAGATTCTACTCAGAATTTTATTATATGTATAGACGTTAAACGAAGTGTATATTATATATATATATATATATATATATATATATATATATATAGTAGGTATATTATATTTTTCATTACTTTTGAGAGATCCCAATATTTTAGCACTGTTACAAACGTCGTGGATACATGAATCGGTACATATTTAGGCTTACCTCATCTCTATTCTGTCTCATCAGGAACACAGGGCTCTCTGTGACAGTCATCAAGAGTCCCATATAAATGATGACAAAACCCAGATTAGTCCAAATTATATACCGGTAAGAGAGAAACCAGCCAAGGATGTAGGAAACCAGTACGCCGATACAATAGCATAACATTGGTGCTGTGGAATAAATTGCAGGATTAAAATGATAATATTAGAATTACGCTATCTTGTTTCAATACTATATTACGTAATAACACAATGTTACGTTTTTTTCGTCCCAAAAACAATCGTCTTCGGAAGTCAAGCCGAACAAAAGCTACATAGATTTATTTTATTTTCTAAGAAAAAATTAAAAAAAAAATTAATACTTAAAACCATCTATTATCATTAGAAATGTATATTTAAAAACCTATTGTAATGGCTTTCACAATTAAATATTACAAAACTACTAGCAATTCACCCTCGCTCGGGTTTATCCCTAATGAAAAACATAATCAAATCTATCCCACGGGAACCGGACAGTAGTAGTAACCTGTATGCTATTTCAGACTATATTCTAACTTTATACTAAATTTCATAGAGATCCGTTCAACTGTTCTGGCTCGCTTGAGTTACAAACATCCATCCATACTTTCGCCTTTATAATAATATATTAATTTTAAGGTGCAAATGAAATTCAATACCAGTGTTTTTTTCCTTCCAAATAAAACATTAAGTAATGGCTTATATTCATAGGTACGTTTTAAAAATATATATATCTCTTAAGAATAATATACTATATATAAAATGTATATAGTATATTATTCTTAAGAGATAGACATATATCATCGCGGACTTTTCTGTATATAGGTCATATATAATACACAATTCCACCATACATTTTTTTGTTATATCTCAAAGGGTTTAAGCAGCGTTTTCGTTAAAAGCTCCCAGACGGCTTATTTTTTTTTCGCCACCTTCAACAAATATCGTCATATTTTAGCCAATGTATACAAAAACTTAACAAATTATATACTAAAACCTTCCTCTTGAATCACTCTATCTATTAAAAAAACCGCATCAAAATCCGTTGCGTAGTTTTTAAGATCTAAGCATACAGAGGGACAGACAGCAGGAAGCGACTTTGTAGTGATTGTAAATAAAAACAGGTAATTTTTTACCAAAGTAAAAGTTTGCTACAAAGGATTTTTAAAAATGGTAATAAAATTAGTACTAACTAAAAGAAAACAAAAATAATTGCATTGCAGATAAGTGCATAACGATAACAACTTTATTTAAATAAGAAAAGTGAAGTTATAAGACGACCAAGTATAAAAGGTGATTGTAATATACTATTTTTATAGCAAATAAGCGGCTATTAAAATTTGTTGTTAATAATATCAACTGATTATATGAAGTAAAAAAAAAACAAAATAAAAATCATAATATTATAATCCTCGTTATATTTTGCAATATATTTACTCGTATTTTAAAAAACATATCAATTAATATTTTTACTTATAAAAATACATATTCCATTATTTTTAAAGGTTCTAAATGTTATCTATACCTACCTACAATCTACATAGATCTACAATAAAATTATTAGCCGAGTCGAATCTGTCATTAGATATTTTTTTCGAAAATCTTATTGAAGTAGTCGTTATTATCGATACAGAGGCCGAATCTATAGTTTTTAGAATTTTTGTTTGTCTGTCTGGGAAGCATTTAATAGCTGGTTATCCGGATCAACATATAGAATATTTTTTACTGCGGGAAATTATCTTATCTCTGAGAAATCGATACTAAATATTACAACGTAACTATTGACGAACCCTAGCGGAGTGGGTGAGTCGCTAGTATTTTTATAACACTGACATTTCGGACATACGCTCTGTAGCTCACTCAATTCGTGTGCTGTTTTTATATCGAGTAATTATCATTTTATTGTTATAGGTTGCTCCTGTAGACCGATCATTCATTCATACTTTAGTACACCGCCTACCATTTCATATAATTTCTCCTACGCCCTAAGGTTGCCTGGAAGAGATCGCTTATAGCGATAAGGCCGCCTGCTGTGCATCATCAATTGTTTATATCTACTTTTTGTATATTTCTTTGTGGTGTACAATAAAGCATCTATCTATCTATCTATACTTATAATTCCAAGTTAAAAATGCTAAATTTCAAAATTATCGGCTCAAACTCATTCGTGTCTTCCTCACAGTAAAAACGTGACACTGGCAGAATATATTGTGTCTGTTAACACAATTCTAAACCATTAAAGAAAAAAAATCTTGGATACTAAGAAAAGGACGCACTATTCCCTTAATTGTGCGCTTTTTTTAACGATCACACTTTTGAGACGCTGATTGTGTATCTGTGTGAGTTTTTATATATCAATACTAGGAAGTCTACTTATTTACATTGAAAGTAACGTTTAAGTTACAAATTGATTGAGCTTTAATAAAAATCATACATTTAAATTACTGAACTTACCAGATGCTAAAGCTCCTCTGATAGATTCCTCAGCAACTTCAGACACATATATAGGCGAAAGTACCAACGCCGCCCCTCCTGATATACCTCCTAGAAACCTCGCTATCAGTATCACAGTTGAGGATGAAGTCAGATCTATCATTAGCCAGGATACCTAAAATATAATAGAACAAAGACTTAGACTCCGGCTCGATGTTTTTGTTCATTAGACCCCATGTCCTGTTATGAGTGTTCGTCATGCGTAGAACACCTATAATTTTCTATAATTTACTAGTCAAACAGAGGAAATATTGTATTATCTATACAGATAAATAAAATTAAAGTGTCTGTTTATAATGCTAAAATAACAGCTTTTTACTAAATAAATATGAAAGTATATACGGTACTTATAACGAAAAGAAATCATTTTTTACATTTTTTTTGTCTGTCTGTCTGTTCCGAAACTGGTGGACCGATTTTGACGGGACTTCCACAGGCAAATAGTTAATCTTATAAGGAGTAACTATGCTTTTCTTTTAGAAAAAGATTAGGGTTCGTGCAAAAAAGTTAAAACCTATGAAACTGTGCAGAAAATCCGCGAACGCTCCCGAACGAAGCGAGGTAAGTCGCTAATCTATTATAAACACTAGAAAAATACATTATATCCTAAGTAAATAATTATATTTAACCGATATTTTTTCTAACCCTGACAGGTTCATAGATATTACTGAATCTGACTTAATAACATTAACTAATGAATATTACTATCACGTTAAAATATATTATTTAACTTTTCTCTATCCTCGCCTACTTCATCCACGGAATTAACCACTCTGCCAGAACTCCCAATTGTATTCATGGGCAGCGACAGAATTACTTTCAGATGTATATTAGCATTAAAGTACTAATCTTTAAATGATAAACTTAATAATTTTTACTCATAAACGTAGGTAATGTATTTTTAATATTTTTTTCTTTTTTTCGCAAATATATAAAAAACAGGGGTTCTAATGATATAATTTTATGTCTTTAACTTTTTCTACATATATTTTCCTTCATTGCGAAGGTGTGAAGTGCACTCCCTTCCACTTTCCCGTTGCCCATGATCGTTTCGAATCTTTGCATACTTACCACCATTGGTACACCTATAAGAACTGCCCCATTTTTTCTTCCAACTATGCTTATAATCCAGCCCACTAAGACGGACCCAGCCATTGCCCCCAAAGGAGGTAAGCTTCCGAGCAGCGAACTTTCCATTTCAGTCATGGGAGCCGATAAAATTGTTGAGTTGCTCGTAGTGTATAACTGGAGGGTATATGAAGGCCATACGTAGAGGGAACCCAGTAGGAGATTCCCTAATGAGCCTGCGACAGAATAATATTTATTTCTAAGTGTTTAAAACTTTAAAGTAGTTGCACAGTAGCATATTGGTAACTATTTTCATATGAGAGTATTTTTTTTCAATACGATTTGCTTATACGTACACGTCGTGCAGAAACCTGCATATCGGTCATTTAACTTCTTACCGAATGACGTTTGACGTAAGCCAAACCGCTTTTGGCGAGGATAATTGACTGAATATTAGCCTAAACGCCCTAACATTTAGGCGTGGCCGGTGTTTAGTAATGGGACATTTAATGGACAATTATTTTCATTAACCTGTAAGTAGTAACTCACGCTCGGGTACATCTCTAGGTGATCTTTAAGCTTACATAACTTTTTTTGAAATATGGACCAAATGAAATAAAACAAATAATAGGTAAGTACATGTTAAGTGTGAAGCTTACCACAATACAATAGTGAAAACCGCACCCAAATCGGTGAAGCCGTTTCTGAGATTAGCGCGCACAAATACACAGACAAACAGACCAAAAATCTAAATATCATTTATTTTGGATGTTTTTCCCAAATATCTTTCATATACAAACAGTGATCAGTAACATTTTTATTGTTTGTATAAGCTAACGAATCACCCTCGATTCGGTCGGGTTCGTGTCTAGGTGATATTTTATATTGACAATACTTTTTTATTTATAAACCGATTGATTTTTTTTTAAATATCTGTCCTATCTCAATTATTTAAAAATAAATTGAATTTCATAAAAAGTACCGATAAACTACAAAAATTTAACTTTGTGCGCGTGTACACATAGATATACGCACTGTTTTTTATTATTTTTTATTTATCATACCCAAATACGTGTTGATAACAGCAATATACTTGTATGAAAAAACTAATTATTCTAGATAAACTACATACATAACCGGTATTTACTATTATACACAACGGAATTAAATTCAGATATCTATGTACCTATTTGTATATCTGACGATTTTTAATTATATACTAGCAATGCCCGCAGCTCCGCCCGCGTTCAGATGACCAAAAAGCAAATTCTTTGGTTTTACATATTAGTATACTCTTACAATGCAGTTTTTGTATTTTTTCTCAGAAATGAGATATTTTCCTATACGTTGACCTGGATAACCAGCTATCATCATACTAAATTTCATCAAAATTCTCCAGTGGTTTTCTCGTGATGCGGTAACAGACAGACAAAAATTCTAAAAACTATACATTCGGCCTCTGTATCGATAATAATGTCTATTTCAATTAGATTTTTCAAAAAATATTTAATGTACACATTCGACTTAGTTACAATTTTATTATATGTATAGATAACGACACTTTCCATTATCAGAGAATCCTTTGCCAACTGTAAGAACTATCTTTTTAAAACAACTAACGCATATTTACACATAATTAAGTACTTCATTTTTAAAGATTGTTATCGTTTTTTGCATGGCGATTTTTATCTATCATTTTTACATATCTTAAAATGTTTGTTTAGAGAAACACACGGGAAACCATTAGCAGAAGCCAGTTTTATTTATATTTGACGACGTGTTTGGTTCAGTTTGTAGTGATCCTACTTGCTGCGCCAGCGGTCGCGGGTTCGAGTCCCGCTGAGGGCATTCATTTGTGTGATGAGCACGAATGCTTGTACTCCAGTCATAGGTGTTTATATTTATAATATGTATGTATTTAAAGTTATATATGTGTAGTGTATCAACTGTCTGGTATCCATAACACAAGCCTCGTAGCTTACCATGGAACTGGATGGTGCTGTGTGTTAATGTCCCAACATATTTATTTACTATCCCATTAAAAAAACACACTAAAACACTCGGCATTAATATAGCTTCCTATTAATGAAACAATTTTCAGAATCGGATTCGTACCTTACATACAAACTTACAAACTTACGTAATTTTAGTGTTCTTATAATACCTACAGTGCATATTTAGAATAGTTGTCAGTCAATTACATTTATCAGTTATAGGGTCAAACTCGCCCCTATAACTTATGATTTTGCTTTATCGGTTATCGACTTCAATCCTTTCCATGACACCAAGCCTATAATAGAATATCGAACTTTAGACCTTACTAGTACATGCAAAACGAGTATAGACACTTACAAAGCAAAAATCTAAAGCAAAAGTGGAAAAATTTTTTTGACTTTAATAATTTAAGAAGATAAATGTACAGCGCCGTTATGTTTGGATTGTCGTTAAAAACCGACTTTCAAAAAGAAGGTTCTATGTTCATCTGTATGTATGTTTTTTTTTGTTAACTAATTTTTTAATTAGAATTCTTTGTTTTCAAAACATTATTGATTATAAGAACGAATTTAAAAGTATCCGTATTATATACTCGTATTATAAATGTGAAAGTTTGTGAGTATGGATGTTTGTTACTCTCTCTCGCCAGAACGGCTGAACGGATCTGGATGAAATTTGGCACAGAGATAGATCATAGTCTGGAATAACATATAGGCTACTTTTTATTTAGGAAAAATGTACGGTTACCGTGGGATAGGTTTGTTTTTGTTTTCCTAGAGGCGAACACGAGCAAAGCGAGTGTGAGCCGCTAGTTAAATAATATTTTCAAGGGCCTAGCGCATCTGCTTCTATTATAATCGGTCGCTGGTCAATCACAACAAATATTCCTATTGCCCTTAAAATCATTATACCTATATGTCATAGTCTTTCTGTATATCTACTGAATTTTATCCAAATCCGTCCAGCCGTTTGAGCGCGAAGAAGTACCAATGAAACACGCACAGTTTCACATATACTCTATACAGAGAAATAAAATTAAAATGTCTGTTTGTAATGTCAAAACAACAGCTTTTTGCTAAATATATATGAAAGTATATACATACGGTACTTATAAGAAAAAAAATGTTTTTAATTTTTTTGTCTCTGTCTGTCTGTTTGTTCCGGCTAATCTCCGAAACGGGTGGACCGATTTTGACGGTACTTTCATTGACAAATAGCTGATGTTATAAGGTGTAACTTAGGCTACTTTTATTTAAGAAAAAGAATAAGGGTTCCGCGCAAAAAAATAAAAATCATAAAATTGTGAACAAAATCTGCGTAGGTATCTAGACGCACTAGAACTATCTAGGACGCACTCGAGCGAAGCAAGAGTAATAGATAAACTAGCAACTATATTAATAACTATGTAGTTTACCGACTGACATAGTGTTGCCTTGTATTTGTATGAGTGCAGTATTATTTATTTGCTTATACGCAATGATAAAGCTCTTGAAGATAATTAATTTGCTAACTGTAATTATCTAACAGTAATATTTGTAACAAAAACATCTCGAAAACTCGCGTATCTTGTAACATCACGTCATTGAAAGGAAATATTTGCAATAACTTATTAAAGCCTATTACACATTTTATTAATTAGATAAACTAGATTCTGGGTTTTTGGACCTAGGTTTTAAATCAACAATGAAAAAATGATATGGCCAATTACAAGTAGGTACAAAAAATTTTGCGGAGTAACAATTTGAGGCGTAGTTTAGGCCTAAAAAAGTTAAGGGTCATTGGTCTCTTGAAATTTGTGATGATATTATGTATAACAGTTAAATAAGTAAACAAACAATAATATATTTAAAAAACGCCCGCATGTTCATATGAACAGGTTTTTTTATTTAGAAAAATCATCTCAAATTTTAAAACTGATCTAGAGATACTCCTCAAATGTATGTGGGCTTTTATTTTATTAACCCCCGAAGCAAAAAGAGGGATGTTATAAGTTTGACGTCGATGTCTGTCTGTTGTGTGTGTATCTGTCTGTGACATCGTAGCTCTCAAACGGATGGACCGATTTCGTTGCGGTTTTATGCGGACAAATAATTTTCGTACGGGGTTTTTTTTAATTTTTAATTTATAATACACTTATTAGTTACACGTATGTTGTGCCCGACCTATATTATTTTCTATAATTGGACTATAGAATTCATCAAAATGTATGTATAGTTTCAATAGTCTGTGAATAAAATACCTGTGACGTACGGACAGACGGACGTTACTTATTTTGATATGTTCGGAGTCGATGCCAGTGGTGAATGCTTAACTATAATTAAAGTAAATGAGTCGTATTCATACCTAAATGAATTATTCATTTTCGTTGTCTTGTATCGGCTGACTAACTAATTAACTCGAAAAATATTTGACAGCATACTTTTTTATAGCATTAAAGCGGTTAACGTTTTAATAGACATGATGATGTTCTCCTGACCGATTCCGGCCACGGCGGCCAATCTCATTGAGACTAGCCAACTGCGCAGGAGATATTATAGTGCACAAGTGTACGCGCAGACACAAGTGCACTCTCTATTCCTGTCACTCTCATACTCCGGTGGGACGACCACTCGACACGACCGGTGAGAGTTAAGGCGCAGGACCGACGGCTTTACGTGCTCTCCGAGGCACGGGGGTGAAACACCGCCAACTTCCCAACTTCGGGCTGCTACTGAGGCGTACTATACAGAAAGACTCAATAACTAAACTGGGCCCGACCCGGGACTCGAACCCAGGACCTCCGGGTGTGCAGCCGTACATGCTAGTCACTACACCACCGAAGCAGTTAATAGACATATAAACTACTTATGTGTATATAACACTGTTAATACTGATGTTCGAAACGAAACAAAACGTTTTTTTTTCAGATTTTTTCTCTGTTTTATTTTGAGTTTATTCGCGACTCGTGACGTTTCGAATGCTTTCAGCAAACGTAGTCACGAGAGAGATTCTCATTAAAAATCCTAAAATATGTTTTTTTTAAAAAGTCAAGTAATCGCGAAAATGGAAGAAAAAAATATTTATGTCCAAAAACAAAAAAGAGTTTTGGTCAGTAACTAAGGATCAAACTTTCAAGTAGTTGTCGTCATTTTTTCAGACTCGTT